CCCAGCTAAATATGTGCTGTCCCTTCGTTCCCTAGAGGCCTGGTCTGTTAGGCGACAGACCACTTACAAGTCTGATTTGTTCAGAAGAGAAAGGGAACAGTATGAATTCAAAAGGAAACGTTTTTTTCTAAGCTGTGAGCTTCCTGGGACAGAGTTGAGTGCTTCTTAGGCCATAGCAAAGCTAGACCAGACAAATGAACATTAATGCATCAAAAGAGCACTTGATATCATATGAATCATCTAGAACTTCAGCTATTCTAGGCTGGATCCACAATGACTTGAAGACTAAAAAATATCTGAGCAAAGCTCAAGAAGTGTCCCTGAGGAGAATAGACAAAACTAAAGTTTATAGTGCTTGGGAGAGGGGAGGGTGTCTGTACTGAGTTTCCGTTTACGACAATGGAAAAATCACATTATTGTTGCAGTTGATTCATTATCTACTGTTAGTTCTATACCTGCAACAATTATGTGGTAGATATACTGACATTCACACAGTGAGAAGCTGCTGTGGCTGCTTATGTACAACCCAACACCTCGGGGGATTGAACTTCTTGGTTTGGAGGTTTAGAGTCCTAGTTTCATGGGACACTGCAGTTACTTAGCCCATACCCTGGCTAGTGGTGCAGATCTACGTCATAGTTCACTGAGCTGTGCCTGGGGGTCTTAAAAGCTTGTTTGGAGCCATCCAAGGTGTAAACAGTCTCTATTCACCTGGAGCAACAGAGGAAGAAGGGTTAGTAACTGGGAGAGGAAATAGAATGCAAGGCTAATTGCCTCTAAGAACAACTGTCCCCTGTGCCAAGCTATCTTTACTGAACATCTGATCAGAGAGTGTACCAAAGAATCCTAATCAAAGTGGGATAAATGCTGAATTGATTTTTACATTCTCATGGACTCCAGACTTTTTGGAGCCATGGGACTACAAAAAAAACCCTAAAACTACTGACCAAAGATAATTTTTAGACCTTAAACCAAAATTAACCCCTGCAGTCTTCTCAAAACCAAACAGTACTTCTGTTTAACTAGGAAAGAATGTTGCCTTGAGCACTGAACTCTTTTAAGACCCATCTATATGGGACGGGACTGACTAGGACAACTCAAAAGATTAGAGAGGGGAAAAAAAAGATGAGAGAAAACTTTGGGGCAGTGAGTTTCTGTTAATGGGGGAGGAACAACTGGGAAAGGAGGCGAAGAATGGTTTCACAACTCCAAGAATGGAACCAATACAATGGAATTGGTGTGTATATTCTCAGCAACAGAAATAAATTACTACAAGAATGAAATACTGGAAGACCTCATGTAGGGGAGGAGAGGGGTTATATAACTAGCAACTGAAGAAAGCTGATGGTGCCCGGCTATCAAAAGATATAGCGTCTGGGGTCTTAAAAGCTTGAAGGTAAACAAGCGGCCATCTAGCTCAGAAGCAACAAAGCCCACATGGAACAACATATCAACCTGTGTGATCACGGGGTGTCGAACGGATCACTGAAGACAAATGGGTGCATAAGCAAATGTGGTGAAGAAAGCTGATGGTGCCCGGCTATCAAAAAGTATAGCGTCTGGGGTCTTAAAGGCTTGAAGGTAAACAAGCGGCCATCAAGCTCAGAAGCAACAAAGCCCACATGGAAGAAGCACACCAGCCTATGCAACCACGAGGTGTCGAAGGGATCACGTGTAAGGCATCATCAGAACAAAAAATCTTACCATAGTGAATGATGGGGAGAGTGCGGAGTGGAGATCCAAAGCCCATTAGTAGGCCACTGGAGATCCCCTTGCAGAGGGGTCTCGGGGAGGAGATGCGCCAATCAGGGTGCGATGTAACAATGATGAGAAATACAATCTTCCTCTAGTTCCTAAAGGTTTCCTCCCCGCTCCACTACCATGACTCGAATTCTATCTTGCAAGACTGGCTAGACCAGAGGAGGTACACTGGTACAGATAGGAACTGAAAATACAGGGAATCCAGGACGGATGAGCCCTATAGGACCAGTGGTGTGAGTGGCAAAACAGGGAGGGTAAAGGGAGAATGGGTAGGAAAGAGGGAACCGATTACATGGAACTGTGTGTGACCTCCTCCCTGGGGGACAGACAACCGAAAAGTGGATGAACGGAGACGTAGGACAGGGCAAGATATGACAAAATAAATGGGTACATTTATAAACTATCAAGGGCTCATGAGGGAGGGGGGAGCAGGGAGGGAGGGGGAAAATGAGGACCTAATGTCGGGGGTTTAAATGGAGAGAAAATGTTTTGAGAAACGATGTACAAATGCGCTTTACACAATTGATGTGTGTATGGATTGGGATAACAGTTGTATGAGCCCCTAATAAAATGTTAAAAAAGAAAAAACAAAAAACAACAAAAAAAAAAAGAAAAAAAAAATAACTAGCAACATACTTTGTGTCCCTGAGCTTATGAAAGCCTCAAACTATTAATTACTGAGATACTAAATATGAATGTCTCTAAGATAAAATGTGTTGAAAATCAAGCTCATACCCATATTGTAAAAGTAAAACAAATCTCAAGTCCTTACACCAAAAAGAGGGGCAGTGGTGATGTCTCAAAGGGGGCAGAATATGCCATTAAAGAAAGCAACAACCATCAAGATGTCCTATAAAATATTGTCTGGTTAAAAAAAATTTTTTTTAATAAAAAAATAAAAATATTGTCTGGTTTTGATATATTTACTCACCTAAGTTTAGCCCTAACAGGTCCATCAAGGGTTGTATTTAAATAGTTTCCCAGTTCCCAATCTATAAGGCAAATTGGCTCAGTAAAGAGGTTTGCAAGGATTTTTTATAACACTTGTAAATGTACCCAGAGGCTATTAAACAGAAACAGCATACAGTAAATATGTAATAAACACCTGGTCTTCCCATGATTATTTCCCATAAACCTGCAAGGGGTAGTGCAAAAGACAGGCCCTGAGGACAGGGTAGTCTGGGGGAGGCTGGGGAAAATGGGATACTAATAATGAGCACAGAATGAAGGAAATATTCCACAACTGATTGTGGTGTTGACTGCACAACCCTTTTTGCTGTGATTGAACAACTGAATGGTATGCTACATGAATAATATGCCAATAGAACTGTTGGGTGGAAAAAACACAACCATCGGAAGACAAAAGAAAGTGAGCCATGTCACAGGACTGGAGAGGCGGCAGACTCCTGGGTGCTCAGTTCATCTTTACTACTGGTTTACCATTTCCTAGATTTTATTATTTTAAGTGCATGCCTTGGCTCAGAAAAGCAAGTTAAGTACAAAATACCAGGATATTATTGGATTTTCCTTTTCTTCTTCTCTGTAGCCGTCGAAAACAGAGCCAGAATTAAGGTTGTCTAGGAATCTTTTGACTTTGCCTGGCCACACACAAAATGAGATTTCAAGATCACAGGGATTTTTACACGGAAAATTCCTTGAAACTTTAACATAATCTGATAATTTTCAGATCAAATTATCTGAACAAAATATTCCAGCCTTTAAATTTATATAGTCCAAGTTCTAAGTCCTGAATTGTCTCAAAACACTGACTTGTGGTGCCATCTGACCTAGTAAGGAGTATTCAATAAATACTTTCACAAGTAGCCACTTCCTGCAAGGCCCCTACAGTCAGAGCAAGCACTATGAACTGTAAAGTTTGCTCTATACACAGCCTCCTCTAACCATTGCACACAGACAGAACATGGTTTAGCTATATAGTTGCAATCAGTTTGGCATCCAAATGTCAAATAGCACCTTCTTGCTTTTTCTACCCCAGAAATCTATTCATTCCCAATTGTGTATACAAATCCACATTTCAAAGCTAGGACTTGTCTCTTTTTAATTCCTGTGCTCATGAATATTTCAGAGAAATTTTACATTTCCCTAGAAAAATCTTTCAACTTAACAGAACCCAAATGATCACAGGAAGGAAAAAAATTTAAATTAGCAGCACTAAACTCTCTTTCTCAGCACTTCCCTCTCTCCCTCATTAACATTTTTCAAAGAGAAACCACCACTGTGATGCTCCCATTACAGACCATTCATGAGGGACCAGACAGACCAGCAACTAGATACACAGCCACTCACCAGCCCCTTAGTTTAAAGGCTCAACTCCCCATCAACTCACATGATTGTGCTCCACTCAAGTCCATCTTTTTGTTTTTGTTTTAAGGGGTGGGGGGGGTGTTTCTTAACCAAAAATGAAAGTCTGAATCCTTATAAACTACTGCTTACAAACCTAAGAAATTCTTTAAAAATAATGACTCAGTTTATACTTCTTGTCTGAAATGGCAGTCTTATTTTGGTTATCAGCAGGGGTATATGCACAGAAAAATTTATCATAAACACATTACCATTTAAAACTTGTGAGAAACTTTATAATCCTGATATAGCAAAACACCAGCAAGAAGCACTCTACACTCCCAAAGCAAGCACCCTGGAAACTATCTACGCTACAGACAGTCAAAATCTCAGAGCAGCCTCAGCACCTCAGGTCTTAAGGGGACTAAAGGGTCCCAGAGGCAATCTCCCAATGAGCCAGGATCCTCAGCATGACTAGTCTAACAATCAAGGTGAATTAAGAAGCGTTTCAAACTCGCTTCAGCAAAACCAAATAGAATTATAATCATGAGTTGCTTAATGTCCATGGTACAGTCCATAAAATAGGATGTTACATGATTTAGGTGTTTTGTCAACACTGTATTATCTACCGGGAGCCCCTGGGTTACCCAAGAGTTCTATTCCTCAATCAGTCTTTAAGTCAAGTTTATACATGAGCTGGAACAATTAAGGGTAGGTTTGTATTTAATTTCAGTCAGTCACGTGTTTATCTTAGTATGAGGGGGAATGAAAAACTGGGAAAATGGAGTTAAAAGATAATGCAATTTTTCCACACTTTTTGAAGCCTCCTCATATATAGCTTAGTGCTTTTCTATATTTATTAAAACATTAAAAACTCTTCTAGTCTCCCTTTCTCAGTTTCTCCGCCATCCTGAGTGTGGTGTTGCTCCGACTTCACCATGTCATCTCATAAGACTTTCAGGATCAAGAGATCCCTGGCCAAGAAACAGAAGCAGAACCGGCCCATTCCCCAATGGATTCGAATGAAAACCAGTAATAAGATCAGGTACAGCTCCAAAAGAAGACACTGGAGAAGAACCAAGCTGGGTCTGTCAGGAGCCCCGAGGAATGGCACGCACGGCCGCATTTGCCCAGGCTCAAATCATGTTGAGTTGCATTAAGGCTTTTACCACCATCTGATCAACTGAACTTGTATTGGCAAATAACCTGGTTTCTTCCTTGGAATTTATGCTCCCGCATCAAGTTTAATAAATAATAATGTAAGGCTGTTGGTTTGAAAAGAAAAACAAAACCCTTCTAGAAACACTTAAAACCTCTCGAATGTTATTAACTACAAAATAATATTGTTTAGGACCTGTGGTGACACAGTAACACACTGGGCTGCTGACCACATGGTCAGCAGTTTGAAACCACCAGCTGCTCCGCAGAACAAAGTTGAGGCTTTTTACTCTTGTAAAGAGTTATGGCCCCTTCCTATACCTGTGGAGATTTGCAGCTTTGGAGACATACAGACAGTTCTACCCTGCCCTATAAGGTTGCTATGGGTCAGCATTGACTCGATGAAAGTGGAAGTAATGCCCCAGGGGAGTGATTGGTAAGGTTCACCAACATAAAATGACAGTGATGTTTCTAAGGTGAACTAGAGACATATAACCCATAGATGCATGAATGGCTTTTGGCCTTGCACCAATTTATATGCATAGAAGAATTAGTCATAAATCACCATTTAAAACTTGTGAAAAACTTTATAATCAAAGAATTAGTTATGACATGGGCCTGCTTGATGCTTGACTTCATAAAGCGATCACTGAAAATATGGGTGCTATAGGAAAGTGGAGTTAAGAAACCAGATGGTGCCCGGCTATCAGAAAGAATACTGCCTGGAGTCTTAAAGGCTAGTCTTCAAAACAAGCAGCCATCTCGAATTGTGGCATCAACTAAGCCCACACAGAAGAAGCACACCAGCCTGTGTGGTCCAGGGACTGAAAATAATAGAATCCAAACCTACAGGATGGAATGGTATCAGAGCTTACAATTGTGAATGTCTGGTTCACAGAAGGCTATGGATGACAACGGAAGCCTAAAATCCATTTGCTGGGTCCACACATGGATTAAGCCTCCAATATGTCTCCTCCAATCACAGTTGATGGATGAGAACAGCCCTGCTATCAGACAGAAAGCATTGGAAAGTAATTTATGGCAGACGTGGGAAGGTCAAAATGTAATTTGATCTCCCTTTTGACCCATGTTAAAGCTGTTTCAGTTCAAAAAAAAATAGTGAAGGGAAAATACACACATATTAAGCCCCTGGTGAAACCCCTCTGACCAAAGACCAGGGAAGGGATTAGCTTTGCTATCATGCAGAATGCACTGGAAAGTGGATTGTTGCAGATGCAGTTAGGTTAAAATTGGCACCCTACTATTTGATCTCCCTTATGATCCATTTAAACGTGTTCTAGTTTTTGGGTTTTTTTGTGTGTGTGTTCTAGTTTTTAATATTTTCTGCTTTATTTCCAATTGAGGTTTTCATCTGTTTTACTTTGTTACTGTTGCTAGTTTTTGTTTTGTTTTAATGTATATGAAACCCAGGATAGGTATTAACAGGGGAGGCTGGAGGTGGGGGGTGGAGAGCTAATAATGATGAGTACAAGAATGAAGAAAATGTTCTACAACTGACTGTCGTGTTGATTGTACAACTCTTCTAATATGACTGAACTATTGAATCAATATGATATGCAAATTATATACAACTCTTGGGTGGGGGGGCTATACCCTTGGAAACTCACAGGAGCAGTTCTACCCTGTCCTACAGGGTTATTATGAGTCAGAATCAATTTGATGGTAGAGAGTGTTTGAGTTATTGTTCAGATGAGTGTTGCAAAGTTGGCCTGTTTGTTATTACAAACCACTGAATATACTTCAGATTTTTAATATAACAGGTTTTATGGGGCTTGGGACTACATTTCAGATGTCACCCAAACAGACTTTATGCAGCCCAGGACTGTTACAGACAGGACTCTAAGGCATCTTAAGAAACCCTAAAGCAAGAATTAGTTGAGCCGCACACAGAGAGCCTTTGGGCACCAAGCTCCTGGTCTGCGTGTGGACGCTGCTCCTCCCCAGGACTGCCCCTGCACACTGGCCACAATTCCGTCCACATCTGAGCTCAAGCTCAGCATCTCAGCTCATATGTCTTGAGTTCTCTACCCTGAGGTGGCCTGTTTGCTCCCTAAACATTAAATTTTAGTTCCTTCCTATCTCCAATTCCTACAAAAAATTGATTTGCTCAGCTTGGGTCAGAAGTCCACCATCTAGGTCAAAGAGGAGGGGTGGGGGGAGGGTTGAGAGGTAGTTTTAAATTGTTGAATAAACAACTGAAGATATGAACCTTTGTGTTAGTCCGGGTTGACTAGATAAACAAATCCAGGGAGACATTCATATGTGTGTTGAGAGCTTTATATCCAAGAGTAATTGTATATTGAGAAAACATCCCAGCCCAGTCCAGATCAAGTTCTTAAGTCCAGTATCAAACCATATGTCCGATACTAGTCTATAGATAAGTCTATAAATTCCTCTTCAGACTCACACAGCCATGCAGGAAGATGACGAGCCAGTAGGTGGAAAGTTTTGTGGATCCAGTGGTGGTGGAAGCATCTCAGCACTGGTGTGGGTCTCCACATGTTTCTTCCAGCTCCAGGTGTCTGGCTCCATCAGCTTGGCTCCATGTGTCTTTTTCAGAAGGAAGATGAAGCAGAGTGTGTGTCTGGCCTCCAGTGAGTTATTTATCTCTATATTGCCTCCAAATGAGATCATCAAGTTGCGGCCTGATTGACAAGCTAGACTCTACTCCTTCCCAAGTTGACAGGGGATTATGTAACTACCACAGACCACCCCTTGCCAACTTAACACTTTTAGACAACTCTTTAGTCACACATGATTTTTAACTGAACAATAAAATACTATCTGTACCTAATAGGATAAATCTAAAAAGCATACATTTCAATATATGTCATCCTCATTTAAACATAGTATTCTAAAAATGAGGAGCTGATATGCCAGGAGCTTAGGTGGAGAGCAAATGTTTTGAGAATGGTGAGGGCAATGAATGTACAAATGTGCTTTACACAATGGATGTATGTATGGATTGTGATAAGTTGTATGAGCCCCTAATAAAATGATTTTTAAAAAAAGAAAAGGAAGAAAAATATAAATCAGAATTAAATTCAAATTTTGTACACTGGAAAAAATTGTATGTCTTTTATTTTATACATGAATAAATGATGAGCTTTATTTTTTTTAAACACAATACTGTATTCTGTAAGTGAACAAAACAATATTCTATGCTTAACAATTGCACTTAAATGAACACCTACACCATGAGCCTCTGAATATATTCCCCCAGCTATGAAAGTTTGTAAACCTTTATCCTCCCCATTTTGGATATCCAATTTCTATACTGCCCACTTATATCAACCTAGTGTTCTGAGGAGACAATCCTAATCTTTGATGTGAAAAATCTTCATTCCAGTTGGAACCTTATGAGTCTGCATCCATAAGCAAAGTTAAATCAAGACAGGCTATCCATAAAATCAGCAACAATATGCACCAGTTCCCAGGCTCAGAAATCTCTTCATCTGGTTCCGTTCTGGTCAACTCAATATGGGCAGCCTCACTAACCTCACCAGGGTGCCCACTGGCTGCTTTGCCTTTAGACCACGGACCCGTCACAAATTCTCAACAACCCTAGCCCCCCTTATGAATTTCAGAGCAGTCAACCCGCTCTCATTTTCTCAAGTCCCTGTGAACCAGGTCTACAGGTGTCAGTGGCCAGACTCAACCTGTCTCTTTATTGCTGCTTTTCTCTCACTTCCACTCAACAAGTGGACCCAGGTGGTCACTGAGCAAGCATTCAGGCTGCCCACAGGCTCTCTTTAACAACCGTAAACCCCACCCTAATTCACAAAAAAATTATTCAAAAAACAAAGTGACTAGGTCACAGAGTACATACTTTGAGTAACGGCTGTGTGCCAAGCCCCCCCCACCATCAGCCACTCATCAATAAGGCAGCCTCAGCTCTCAAGAAGCTTAAGACCTTCTTTGAAAAGGATTTTTTAAAATAGAGCATTGTCATATCCTACAAAACAGCACCATAACAGGGATCGCTTCATGAAAAAGCCTCCACCAGATAAAAAGTAGGAATTGAGCCCTGAGCAGGGAGAAGCTGAAGAACATCGAAAACCCCAAAGTGACACCTGCTTGCTTCTCTTGCTCCAGCCAGGAATTGCCTTTTACCACACACACAGCTCCCATAAAATACCCTTGTTGAAAACCTGTCATAAGGCTTAAAACGTCTGACCACAAAGCAGCTCCACTTCAGCCAGCTGATGAATGTCAAACAGCTCCACACTTTCAAGTCCCTCCATCCCCCTTGCCCTCCTCTCCCCCACCACCTCCTCAAGACTCTGGCTGGGCCTGCACTGTGGAGCAAGCAGGCAGCCAGCCAGCCAATAGGGACAGCACAGGTGGTCCTCTCTGGTAATATCCCACCAGACCCAGCATGGTCACTTAGTGGCAGCACCGGGTACTAACAGAGAACCATCCAGGGGAGAAAGAAACCTCGCTAAACTAGGCGCTGTGCCCTGGGGGGAGGGGACCCAGGGAGCTGAGAAGGAGAGTGTTTCCCACACAAAAGCTCCCCGCACAAAGATCCTGGGCCAAGCATATACAGTAAATTATCTGTATAAAACAGAAAGGAGCGAAAACTTAACAGATGTCCAAATCATCTTGGGTTAAGAAAGGCAGTCTACTCACAGTTGCCCACGTTATCACCAAATATCACACATTCCCACAGTCTCTGTAAATGCTGGCGCCAACCTCACAGGAAACAAAAAGGTAGAACAATGAGCGAGTGGTGACAGTTTCTAATTTAGCCATTCATTCTCTGTGGCTGAAGAGCAGCAATGTTATGTAAATGAAACTACTGACCTTTCAAAAGTAAAAGAATGACACTAGAAAATTAAACAGCAGTGGAACCAAAAACCTTCGTTTTTATAATCGCCGGCTTGAAAAACATTTCCCAACTCAAAACTACACGTTCAGTGGAGCTGCCATTGAGGGAAACATGGAAGTACTCCACTTCGTTTTGTCAAAGGTAAGCATG